CTCAGGTTGTGACACACAATTTAACGGTCAATGAAAGTGGAAGCCAAGTTATGAGGCCCAGGGACTCTGCTAATTATTGTTTCAATTTGAGCAAGCCATTATTTTGAGTCAGAGAGAAATGTTTTGTTATCTCATGGGGCTGATGTAAAGACCAAATATACATGGAAAACACACTAAAAGATGAGGCCCACATAGAATTGCCAATTCCTGGAAATAGAACCAAATAATAAGAACTGAAACAAAACATCAAAAACTGAGAGAATTGAACAAGCTCTGCTCCTGACTGCATGTCCCCAGAGGCCACAAGGGGGTGAGCAGCCTATGTGGCCATTGGTGGGTGAGTTGTTATAGAATATGTAGTATATAAATACAGTGGGATGACCTTTGGCCTCCCAAAAGACTGGGAATCCTGGCCCATACTATATCATGGATGAACTGCCAGGACATTAGGCATTGACAGAATCTGGGACTGAAAGATTGGTCTATGTGAATACTTATTTGAAGTATGCAAAGTGGGGCTGGAGAGATGTCTCATCGGTTAAAGAGCACTGGCTGCTCTTCCAGAGGTCCCAGCTTCTGTTCCCAGAACCCACATGGCAGCTCACAACTGTCTGCAGTTTGAGTTCCACAGGATCTGACACCTTCACACCAATCTGCATACAATAAAGTTAAATAATAATAAAAATAAAGTATGCAAAGTGGTCCACCCCATGGAGAAGGCAATACACCAGGTGCCAGGAGCTGAAGGGGTGGGGTGCTGCTCAGTGAAAGATGGCACTTCTGCAGATATATGATGGTGATGGTTGCAGGGTGACATGAATTTACTTATTGCTACTCGGTCACACACTGAGTGTGTGAGTCAGCTCAACTGGTGAGTTTGAATTTATGTATATATTTGATCAGAGTAAAGGACAACAAAACTTTAAAGCAGAGGATATGACTCAGTTGTAGAAAGGCTGGAAGCTGACAGATGATGAGTTCAAGATCAGCTTGCATACAGATGACATTCTGTCTCAAAAGACCCAGCCAAAGAAAACGGTCTAAAATGGGGGCTGGGGAGATAACTCAGCAGTTAAGTTCTCCTGCTGCTCTTGCAGAGGACTGGAGTTCAGCTCCCGGCACCACAGTGGGTAGTTCATAACTGCTTATAACTTCAGCTCCAGGGGATCTAGCCTCTGAGGGTATCCACACAAGCACATACACACACAAGCATACACAAAAACAAAGGTTTAGAAAAGTTTATAGTGACTTTCAGAAAGACTAAATTATCCAGCACACTATCAAGATATTGACGTATGCATATTATCAAAAACTAGAAGTAAATACGTGCCAATAACCAAATATGTTAATGTTTAGAATGATGAAGTAGCAAGAGGCTTTCCTGTGGAAAATGCCTTTGTAGTGTTAGCTACACATTTGTAGCTATTTTATTATCTTTAATTGTGTGTGTGTGCAGGCCCATGTGTACAAGTGCACATGAATGGATGTAAAGACCCTTGGAGGCCAGAGCATCCGGTACCCAAGGAGCTGGAGTTAGAGGCCACCAGATGTGGGTGCTGGGAACAGAACATTACTCCCAGTGCTCTTAACCTCTGAGCCATCTCTCCAGCCCCTTTGCCTCTGGACATGGACATCCAAAAACTGTCGCCCTGTAGTGGAAGCTGCTGAGTATTATGGGACACAGAAGTGTTTCTGGAAGAGGAAACCCAGGTGTTTCCCCCTCAGTCACAAACTCTCTCCACTTCAGGAAGTTGAGTTTTCCTAGAGCCACATCCATGAGTTATCTACAGCGGCTTCTGCTGCTGAACTCACGGGTGACTGTGTGTGTGTGCAGGCCCATGTGTACAAGTGCACATGCATGGATGTAAAGACCCTTGGAGGCCAGAGCATCCGGTACCCAAGGAGCTGGAGTTAGAGGCCACCAGATGTGGGTGCTGGGAACAGAACATTACTCCCAGTGCGGATTCTAGGTTGATGCCTCTGTGCTTTGCCAGTGTCCCCCTCACTTCCCAACCTCTCCATAACAAGCCACCTGGTGATGTGGAGAGACAGCTCAAAGATTAAGAGCCTGGTCCTCCAGAGGACCCTGGTTAAACCCCCAGCACCTACATAGTTGCTCACAACCATCAGTAACTTGAGTTCCAAATGACATCATAATATCCTTTCCTAGCTTCCAAGGGGGTAGAGAGACAGTGCTGGCATAAAACATACACACACGCACGCACGCACGCACGCACGCACGCACGCACGCACGCACATTAAAAACCAACCAACCAAAAACCCACTTTTGGTGCCTATTCTGATTAATTTTCTCTAATTCATAGTCAAGGGTAAGCATATTCCCAAACATTTCAGATTCCTTATATCCTCAAACACTTTGAAGTCCTTATGAAGCCCCAAACACTAACATTAACAGAAATCAGAACAACCTTACTTTTTTCTAGGCAGGATCTTTCTCTGCAGCTCAGGCCAGCTTAGAACTCATGATCCTCCTGCCTCAGCATTCCAAGTGCTGGATGGCAGGTGTGCTGCACCAGAGCAGCTTGTGAGTAGTCTCTGCTGAGACCCAGCTTGCCTGAGCATAAAAAGTGAGGGCCGACATCATGACTTCCCTCCACACTAAGCTGGCTTTATTTCTTCTCCCATACACTCAATATAATGTCACAGTATGTGTCTTTTTCTCAACACATATTGAGGTTTTTATAGAGCATAAATTAGCAGAGACACGACTATTAAAACAGACTCATTAAAACACGGAGCCGATAATCTATGAGCTTTTCTGGAAAGGTCTGTTATTTGTGTGATTTATCCTGTTTTTTATGCCTCCTTTCAGCCCAGTAATTCAGAATTCTAGCAAATTAAATTCTTTGCTTTTCTCTCTTGCTTAGTGCCCCCCACCCCGTATGTGTGTTTGTGTGTGTGTGTGTGTGTGTGTGTGTGTGTGTGTGAGAGAGAGAGAGAGAGAGAGAGAGAGAGAGAGAGAGAGAGAGAGAGAGAGAGAGAGAGAGAGTCAGTCTCATACTGTAGCCCAGGCTGGCTGGCCGGCCTGGAACTCACTTGGTAGCCCAGTCTGTATCAGTCCAGTGTGACACTTCAAGTACGAACCACACCCATACCTGTTTGCCCTTTAGAAAAAAAAAAAATTAGAAGCAGATTATCTCCGTTCTTACCCAGATCTTTTCCAGTGCACTTACCTGAACCCTGGAGTTGCAGGCTGGACACGGACTGTGAGAATAGGGAGCCCACACACTGTAAAGAAAATTATGCCTTCCTGCCATAGAACTCCCCAGTGTACATAACTGCAAAATAGCAGGAAGGGGAGGGGACAGAGGGAGGCACAAGAGGTCTTGGGTGAGCTTCAAAACTCACAGCAGCACTGGGGTAGGGTAGCATATCTTTGGAGCACCCCTAGGTGTGGAAAGTTGTGTCCCTTTCTTCTGTCCTCTTAAGTGAAATGAGGGAACTCCAGGGGTTCTGGCAGGTGGAATGTGGGAGCTGGGATCCTCATTGCAGGTTTCATTCCTTAATGTGAACAGCTTTCTCACTGGCCTTGTATACATTGTGGGATAACAGGTACAACAATGACAAAGATGACAGTGACCGTAACTGGGTGGCCTTTGCATCAAAGACCATTAGGATTACTTTTGTTTATTTAGAACTTGCAAATGATTAGTTTCTGTTGCCTATGACTTTCATTAAGGGCAAAACTGAAATGAAGGGCAACCTATGATTCAGTTAATCCTGGCATTCACATTTCTGCAGGGCGCTTTGATAGTCAGAAGGAAAAGGCCTTTAGGTGTGCTTTTGGGTTAGTATGTTCAGGAGGAAACTCTGAGCCCTTGTGACTTCTAAAGCTTTAGATAAGGCCAGACACTCCCAGTAACCCAGCTCAGTCCTCAAAATATATCAAATGTAAAATAGTTATTTTCTCCCATTGGGTGCTCAGTGGTAGAGTGCTTGCCTTGTAAGCACAAGGCCTTGGGGTCAGTCCTCAGCCAAAAATAATAAAAAAAATGAAAAAAGCCGTGGTGGCACACACTTTTAATCCCAGCACTCAGGAGGCAGAAACAAGTGTATCTCTGTGAGTTTGAGGCCAGCCTGGTCTACAGAAAAAGTTTCAGGACAGCCAGGGCTACACAAGGAGATTCTGTCTCGAAAAACAAAAACAAAAAATTAAGTTTTCTCCATAGAGGGCTTTGAAATGTGTAACAGGTACATGTGGATAGGGATGAAGGAGTCTAGAGGCTAGCGTGGGCCTTGATTTTAACCACAGGCATACGCAAGGGAAGTGCCCTTTTGAGTAGGCAGAAACCCGAGGAATGCTCCCCCCACACCCCCATAGGCCAGCCTGAGCTAAGCAAACACTGTTATCTTGTGTTATCCACTGCTTTGAGGGGAATCAGGGTTCTCTTTGGACCTGACCATTCCTCTTCCCTTTCAGGCAGTCCAAGTTTCAGCTTTTGTTGCACCAGATGTGGCAAGTTACCATGGCCCAACCAGAACCTTCCAACATCTGTGTAGTTAGTTTAACCATGCAAGGAGCAGATGAGGGCTTTGTCCATCTCTTCATCTACCTTCAGTCCCCGAGGAACACTCTTGTAATCGTTCCTCCTCAGTTTCTCCTGAGAAGCGTCCAAACATTCAGGCAAAAGTGCAAGTTTCTAGGCCATAAAAGGACGCTCTTCTGTTCCGAGAAGGGCAGGAGCTCACCTTAGTAGCCACCTGGGTATGGGGTACACAGGTACTGGGAAGCCTCACCTGAGCATTAGTGCAGCAGGCAGCCCCAACAATGTGCCCAGGAGGAGGTGGGATTGGAAACAGCTGGTAGCACACACTGAGCTAGGTCTGACTTCTTTAGGCCTGACTGCTACAGCCAGGACCCCAAGTTCCTTTGTGTGTGGATAGTGCAGCTGGTTGCTAGGGGTCCTCTGTGGCCACTCAGCTTCAGGCTGCCACAAACCCCTCTGCTCCCCTGACCAATCAGAATCCTCTCCAGCTGTATTCCTAGCCCCAGCAGGAACCAGGGATTTGACAGGGTGCCTGGCCCACAAACTGCCTGTTTGTGGTACTCCTACTCATTCTTTGCATAAGAAGAGGACTTGGTCACCTGTGTCCCTCCCCTTCCCTAAGACTTGCTGGGACCACAGTGAAGCCTGCTAGGCTGTCTCCCTGGACATCCCTCTGCCTCTGATTTTATAGATTTCTCCCTTCATTGCAATCTACGTTGGCAATACTGACTACAGTTGGCCTTGAGCTATTTAGGCACATTAGGGAATGCCACATGCCACCAGTGCCACAGGGCCTGGGTCATCTGAGACCATATGGTCCCAGCTCTGACTCAGCAGAGGCACTGTGTTTATCCACAGAATCCTACAGGGGCCTTCCTTAGGAGTGGAGTCTTGGCCTGGATGTTTGACAGGGACAGGACTCCATTCTAGGAGCTGTCATGTGCCTACCTCACATCTCTGGAGCTAGTAATGCAAGGTGAACTTCATATTTCTATACGGCTCTCCAGCCACACATCCCTCCGTAGGGACGTGGTCTCTCTCTGTCATGCAACAGACAACTCTTCTGTAATAAAGTACTGCTGCATTCCACTTACGTTCCCTTCTATGTATGGTAGCATCCTGGGCCACCCCATGTTGTCACTGTCACCCTTTCACCCAGTGAAGCCCATGGAGAGGTGACAGATGATGCTGGAGTAAACAACAGAAAGCAAGAGGCAGCCTTGGCAACGCAGAGGGGCCCTTTTCTGATTACTGCCGGCAAACAATGGGCTGTTTACTGGGATTTTCTGAGCTTGCTAAGGAGGAAATTCTTACTCACCCCACACCCTGGGTGAGGGCGGCCAAGGCTGCAGGCTCACCTCCCAGGGAAGGGTCTTGCCAACAGCTCAGGCCACTCAAAGGCATACAGACCTGGTCACCCACATTCCATCATTCATGGAAAACTGCTGCAATAAATTCGGCCTTCCTAGGCCGGGTTATCACTCAGTGGTAGAGGGCCTGCTTGACCTTGAGGTGGGGAAGGGGGTGTGAGGCCTCCAAACACACAAAGGGATAAGAAAATCATCCAAACTGTCACTTGTCCTGTGGCTCCCATATTACTCTAATGGCTTTGGAAGCCCAGTGGTGCCTCTCTTATTGCCCTCAGAGCCTTTGTTTAACATCTGCCCAATGACTCCCTCCCAGCAAGACTGAGGATTTAGGAAGAAGTACCAAGGTCAGGGCAATAAAGGATCTGAAAGCTCCAGCACCCGCAGCCTTTGAAGAATCAATCTATCTATCTATCTATCTATCTATCTATCTATCTATCTATCTATCTATCTTTCTTTCCTTCCCTTTCTTTCTTTTCTTTCTTTCTTTGCTTCTTTCTTCCTTCCTTCCTTTTTTTTTTTGAGACAGTCTTATATGGCGTAGGTTGACCTTGAACTCTTTATTGTAGCCAGGAAAAAAACCTCCTGCCTCCACCTCTCAAGTACCAGGATTACCGACATGTGCTTCCACACCCAGTTTTATACAGTGCTGAGAATCAAATGCAGGACTCTGTGCATGCCCCAGGCCCGCCTCTTTTTGTATAATGTGTCTATCTTACTTTATTATGGAGATGCATCACTAGAATCAGTGTGGCAAATTATTTTAATATACAGATACAAAATGACAAATAGAGATTCACAGCATTTACAAGAAATCAAATAACTATTTTTTAAAACAACAACAAAAAACCCTTCATTTAGTAAAAATGCACGTCTTGTACATGGGTTCTATTTCAGGGTCAAGGCGGACTCATCATCTTAGGGGCAGCACTTGACTTTTACATAGACGAAGCACCCCGATGTGGGTTAGTTATCACTAACAACATAGCCAGGAAGCTCAGTCAGCAAGTCATGCTCAGGGGGCACCAATATGTACACAAAGAAAGGGACCAACTATTAAATTACAGAAGCGGCTCAAAGTTATTTTCTAAATATAAATGGCAATGCCTAGGAGAACATAAAGGCAATAATGAAGTATGTGGGATGGCTAAGCAAATTTACATACATTATATAAGCTGATTCTAAGACTAGTTACAAGTTTCTACCTATTTTGTCCTAAGTCTTTCAAACTCCCATTTCCGTGGCTGAAGAAGCGATTTGTGGGTACCCTGTGCCCAGCATCCTGGCTTTGAGCTGCTTAAAGACATTGACTCACTTCTTGGCACTGGCCTGAGGGACACTTCTGCTTTTCCTATCTGTGATGAAGCCACAATGAGGAAGCCATGCCCCGGTTCCAGGAAGCTGTGGCTGGAAACAGGACTGACCTGTCCTGAGAAATACCCAGGTACAGATCTCCACATGCACACGATGCTGGATCACTGGCACTTACAAAACACTTCCACTGTGAACCGAATTTCGAGTTAAATACATTTTTGCTTTGTGTGTAAGAACAGCAACGTAGGATGTGGAATCCTTCTTGAATGGCTTGGATATTAAAAGGCACAGTATTTAGAAAGGGCATTCCATAGTGGTGACGTTTCTCACCTGCAGAAGCAGAGCTTCCATGGGGAAATGAAAATCACAGCAGATGACACATCTAAGGAGTGGCATCTCTTGAGAGCCCCGACCAACTTAGCTGACTGCCACTCTCTTTTACTTTTTTGGGACAGAGCCTGGAATGTTCCTTCTTTCTCTAGACTTTCAAGCATTATTTATAACCACACTTTTCACCTACCACATGGTGGTTATACATATAGATATCATCTAAACCAGGGAGGCCTTCTTAACTGTATCAACAGAGCTGGCAAATCCTGGACCGCTGAAGACAGAACAAATGAAATCATTAAAATTTAAATCACCAATCTTTTTTGGCCCACTGAGGGAGAGGGGAGGGAATGTTGTTCGTGAGCATCAGACACCATTCAGGCAAGAGACTCTTTGTTGCTTCTCTTTTTTTTTCTTTCAAAGTAGAGCACATGCCTTAAATCAAGAAGGAGGTTTAGACAACTAAACATAATACTCAAGGTCTTCGACTTTCTGTAGAACTCAGGCCTTTGGTAATAAAAATTATATAGACATACAGATTTTTACAATGTCAAAAGCTATTATAGCTTTTAAAAACACATTTGTTTTCAAAATCACCCAGAAATCCCAAGTAAGATTCATCTGGGACAGACATTTGATCAAACACTTCTCACACTGTATAAAATTGCCTGGGGCCAGCCCAGGTCTTGAACATGACTCGATACAAACACATCTTGATGTTCGTGATTGTTAGGAAGTCTGTGGAGGTAGGTGGGAATGGGAAGTCAGGGCAGCTGGGAACTACATTAGGACTGGTCCCAAACTTAATGTATTACTTCTTCACTGTCATTAGTTGTAACAGCAAATGAATTCTGCAGTGAGACTCAAGTTGAATCCTCAGTGAATATGAACAGGACCGAAAGATTCTCTTCACTTCCTTAAAGCAATTTTTCATATTAACAACACAACTGTTGAAACTGCTGTACATACACAATGTAGCAGAAAAAGCACACTAAGTATCATTTCCAAAATATATCATTGCATTCTGTTAGTAAAAAACAAAAACAACCTGTCAGTTATATAAATGTAGCTAAGTTGAGGCATGTATTTAAAGATTCTCTCCTCTCCTCTCTCTCTCTCTCTCTCTCTCTCTCTCTCTCTGACACACACACACAGCACACCGTGCACTGAACAGTCCTGTGCACTGAACTATTTAATGACACACAGAAACAGCTGTGGGGCCACTGACCACAATCCCCAGCAGTGCTGCAGCTCATCCCAGGTCCAGGGTCCAGGTTATTTGCTGGGAGGTCACTTGCTTCAGGTATAGGTCTATATATGGGGAAAGAGTGGAGGAACTGTGCTGATGGACCAATACCTTCATCTCTAACACTGCAGACTTGTTTGTTCTTAAGCAAGGGCTGATGAGAGAGTAGAACCTTGCAGGTACAGCATACAACAACACACTTGTCCAAAAGAACCCTTGAGCTGCACAGCAGGACCCCCTCCTGGCCAGCTCACTGTTTAGATTCAAATGTAGAACCAGTTTCCTTAGATCTAGTTAAAGGCTTACTCTCTGCAGGTGTCCTCCCATGTGGCCTTCATTAGAAGACAGCTCTCTCAGAGCTAAGGAGTCATCAAAACCAATCTCCAGCTGGCACAGCCATGCACTGCTGTTTCAGGGTCATGTGACAGAGGTGTCTCCACACCCCCAGGTTGCAGGATGTTTTTGTCCCTTTGCTTTCTCTGTGGAATGTCTGTGTCTCCATCATCTCACTGATGAAGAAACCACAAATGGCTGCTGAAGATGCACAGGTTCGAATTATCATGTTATGAAACCTGAAAGAATTTTCACATCACCGCTATTTCTGTGAATGGACGCTTCTTAGGTTGTGATGGATGAGCAAGACATGACCTCTGCTTGAAGCGGTGAGCAGAACATACAAGCTGGCAGTGCCCTTCCCTCTGGTCAGGAAAGCAGCACTGCTTTGAGGATGCCACATGTCCCACGTTGCCAGGGTGACAGTTGCCGCCTGACTCTCCCTAGCTTATGAATAAGGAACTTGCAAGATGAAACCTACACTCTTGCTTGGTGCCTGCTACACCTTGGGAAACTGTGAGCACCTGCCCAGCAGCTCTAGCTCCTTCACAGTGCCTACCAGGCCTGACCTGACTCCATCAACGAGTTCCTCAAGATCAAACACAGAAGCCATCCTTAATGATTGCTCCCGGGGGACTGAAAGACTCTTGGTACTGTCTGGAACAGCAGCAGGAGTGTGACCATCAGTGGCAAACTCACAGGGCCATCGGGTCAGCAGTCCCATGCAGAGAGAGAGGCCCTGGTCCCTACATCCTGGCACTTGAGCTTCCAGTGTGGGACAGAGCAGTGCTTCACGGCCTCCTGCTTTCCACAAGGGCACTGGAGCCTCTCAAGATCAAAGATGAGTCCCATTCCTTTTCCTCGTCATTGATTCCCAAAAGAAGTGTTCATCACTGAGCAAGAAGCCATCCCTGGACACCACACTGAAGAGACAAAACTGGCGTTCCTCCCCACAGTACCTCAGGGGCACACGCTGAGGAAGGCTCATTTCCTGAAGGGGGTGAGTTTGTGGAAGGTGTGCCAGAAGAGTGATGGCTTCCTCTTGGGCTCAGCCAAGGCAAAGACTTGCTGCTGTGGGATGCTGGTAGGCACGGTGATGTGGCGCTGGTGAACAGGCAGCAGGCTCTGGTGGGGCGGGGCCACGGGGCAGCTGCCATTGCCTGATGCAGGAAGGACAGACACACGGATTAATTACTGAAAAGCCACGCTGGGACTCAAAATACTTAGCTGATTCACAGAAATCAGAAGGACATCTAGTAACTGTCCTAAGAAACAAGACTTTCAGATACCCCGTATGGGGCCAGCAAGGGTTACGTCATGAAGCCTACCCAAAGCCTCACAGGAAGGAAGTCCAGGGGATGAAGTAGATCACCTTCCTCCACGAGAGAGGTCAGTGAAGACTCGAAACTGGGCTCCTGGTGTGGATGGGAAGTAGTGACATGCTCAGACCAAGCCCTGGAGCCAGCATTCCCTTGGCCCAAATGCTACTCCACACTTACTGACCATGAGTATTTGGAGGGAAATTCTGTGATTTCTACATGCCTTAGCTCCCTACTCTGTAAAATGGGAGTAGCAGTACCAAGGTGTCATGAGAACAAATGAAGTAACATTCATTGTCACTATCTACCCTCGGGGGGGGGGGGGG